AGTTGCATCTTTATCTGTTCATGAACTTTTTTTCTGTAAAAGAAAGTGTCTTTGAAGTAGCTACAGATGCACTAAATTTGTTTTAGCTATCACAAATTAGTTCCACATAAGCCCATAATTTTGTCCCCTTTACCTGATATTCAGCCTACTTAGGGTCTTATAATTAAGCATTGATTATTTTTAGGGAAGCAAGCATTAATTTCAAGGAATTATGCAAGAAAAAGCATGCGGATCATCTTTGGATGGAAGAATTAGCTGCAGTTGAGGCATGCTCACCATCAGAACTGCCACTGTTGGGAACATCTGGCATTGTGCTTGCAAATGGAATTAGCATCTCTAATGATCACACTTCAAATGAATCTTCAGCAGGATCAACATCAGACACATGTGCTGGAGCTGTGGATTCCAAGAAAGGTATCTCAGAGGCTTATAGCTTTTCCTTGCCTTTTCATTACAGCTTCTCAACAACCATACTTGAAGAATACATTTCCTTATCATTATCATTGTCGTTCCTGTTGAATCACCTGCTCTTGTCTGTGTAAATGCAAAGCATTTACTTTATTCCCACTTTGGATATAGTCTTACTTCTTGCTTGACATATTGGATAGGCATCCATAAGACCTCTCTAACTTCACTGAATGTAAAATATACTTTTGGATTAGAATCCATGCTTCTTAGAACATGCTAGGATAGCAACCGTATCATCTCTTATTTACACTAAATATGAAATTTGCTTATATTCCAATAGATAATATTTGGTTTCTCTGATGTACGTGCAGATGATAATTTGCCTGCATCAGTTCAGACACCATCATCAACTACTTCAAAAAGTCAAGTTCCAATGCAATGGCTAAATCAGATGCCTCAGCATATGTATAATTTTCAAGGCCACCTACCTCAATATCAAGGATATCCCTTCCATCCTATGCAGCCTGTACCACTTCCATATCCAATGAATATGCAGTGGCCTCCTAATTTTAATCAGAAATCAACTTCCAAGCTAAAGAAGAAATTTTCGAATGGGAAAAAACTTGATTATTCAGGAGAAGAAAGGGAAACAGAGTTCAGTGGTTCCGACTCTGGAAGTGAGTCAGGTTCAGATGTGCAACAGGAAGATAGAAGACATTCATCGCCAGATCCTCCATTTAGGAAGAAAAACCGTAAGAAGTCGTCTGGAACAGTTGTCATTCGTAATATTAACTACATCACTCCAAACAGGAGGAGTGGAGAGAAAGATCAAGCTTCGGATGGATCTTATTCTTCTGAGGATGATCTAATTGATGCAGATTTCTTAAAACAGAAAGTGGATGATGCAGTCAAGTCACTGAAGGAATCAGGCAAGTCAAATTCAAGTAACAGAAAAAGAAGAGGTGCGGACAAGAGCCACCACATTGTGGAAAAATCATCCGATGCTTCTTGTGAGAGAGATTCTGATGACCTCGACGTAAACACATCAGAAGGAGGAAAAAGAAATGGAAACTGGGATGCTCTCCAAAACCTTCTAATGAGGGGTGAAGAAAATCCAAGTATGAATGAAGTAGAATGGAAGCAAGCTGAGGATGTTCAGGAACATTTCATGGCTAGAAACTTTGATGGTGAGCTTTCTGCAACTACTCCTTTGAACTTAGAATCACAGAAAGCTCCAATTAAGCGGGCAGGTTTGGTTGATTCTTTTGTCGTGACGGAGAGGGTTGAGACTAATGAAACTAGGGTGAAGTTGGATGATTTTGTTAATGGAGAGAACTATCGTCCTGTCATGAAGAAAGGGGACAGTGTAGAAGTGGATTTGTTACCTCCAGAGAGATCGGTTGAATCTGGTAAGAAGCTTGGTGATCCCGTATCTGCCTCTGCAAATGAGTCAACAATAATCAGGTATGGAAAGGAAGAAGATTGGTTTGCTGGAAATGACCCCATAAAGTCCGAAAACCAGCATTCATCCAATAATCAGATGCTTTTTAATGGTGATTGCGTTTTATCAGTTGAGAGTGATCCTCTATATTCTCAGAAGAGTAGGAAAGATGTTCTTATTGATGATTCTTTCATGGTAGCAGCTTGGCCTGCAGGTGTTGATCAGGTTGACTCCCAATTGAAAACGGATATAAGTATGGTTGCAGATCTAACTTCACCTAGCAAACCAGATGGCACAAAAGATGTTTCACAAGATGAGCATAAGAGACTTGATGCCGAGCCAATTGATCTTTGCATGGTGCTTGAACGAAACCCTGGATACGAATCCTCCAGAGACTCCTGGACAATGGATTATCAAATTGATTTGTCATTTACTGAAACAAATAGAAGTGCAGCTAGAAAATGTGATGATGAGAAAGTTTCTTCTGATCATGAGATCACCATTTCCAAGCATGATGAAGTCCAAGGAATGAAAAAGCCAGCCAAGGAAGCCAGGTCTAGAGTTTTAAATGGACCTGCAGGGAGAAGCAAAACTGAAATTGTGTCCAAGAGTAAGAAACCATCTCTTGTTAGTAGGTCCATTACTCAAAAGAGCAAGTTGGAGAAGGTAATGATTAATGTCTTCCAAGTAGCAACCAATATGCTTTAATATAAACCGTTTCCCTTTATTTCTTTATAGCTTCTAATGCTAATATGCTTATCACCAGGAAGAAGAGATGCGGAAGAAGATGGAAGAACTACGGATTGAAAGGCAGAAAAGAATTGCGGAGAGAACTGCCGCTGCTGATTATGCTTCATCTGTATCCACGAAATCACCATTAGAAAGTAAGGGAACAAAAGGTTCCATAAAGAGTGATAAGAACAAAAATGTATCTACTGCTCAAGCAACCAGCAGGGTGAATCCTGTCAAACTCAGAGCAACTTAGAAAGAAGCCTCAAAAGATCTTATGAATGGTTGGGATATGATATCCGAACCTTATTCTGGAGACCTTTTGAGGAGGATCGGATTCAAGCCTGGAATCTCTCGAGCCAAGGAAAGTCCTACCTGTTGAATTTGCTTGGAACATGCACTGCAGATCATATAATAGAAAAGTTGGATCCTCATGCACGTTACTGTATACATTGTCAATATTTGTAAGTTACAATTGCAATTCGTTCCACCATTGTTTGTTTTAATAAGTTATAAAATACTAAATAAATTCAGTGAACATGTATTTCTTTGTATTCCCATTTGCTTTTCTATTGTGATTGTCGGTCACTTTTTGTCTTGAAAAACAAAGTTCCTTTCGTTTGTAATTTGTATATTTTAAGAGTTATATTGTGCTACATGGCTTCATCATAATAATATTTATATTTAAATCACTAAAAATATATTACCTCCATTTTTCTTAATTACCTTTCAAAATCATTCAAGTGAACTTTGGTAAAATATATTATATATTATATGATATATAGATTTTGTTTTTATATAAATGTATACATTAAATTTTGATTTGGTTATTTTTTATAAATGACATGTACTATTATTGACTTACATCATTTAGGTTTGTTTGATTGAGTAGAAAGAATGGAAGGAGTGAAGAGTTAAAACAAAATAATTTTTGAGTGTATTTGGTGTGGAAAAAATAATAAAAGATATGATATTTTTCATTATCATGTGTATACAAATAAAGCATTTTAATTTGAAATGACAAGAGAGGAGAAATGTACGAGAGCTTAACTATTGAGTGATTACAGTGATAAAAATGCATTTTGTTTTTTAAAAAAGATTTGAGTTCCAATAATTATGTCTACAAAGTATTTTACTATTGTTATCAATAATCTAAAAAAAATCAGAAATTACACCAACTATAAAAAATGAAATGTATAAGAGAGCTGTAGTCTGCCGTTAATGCAGAGGGGTAAACACTGGTCTTGACCTCCAAAAGTGGTTTAATTGTTTTTTCATCCCTTCAAAAACAATAAAATTTTAAATTAATATAATGATAAAAATGCATTTTGTCTCTTAAAACTTTGTAGCTTAATTTCGGTCTTCCTTTGTAGATTTGATTACAGATATAAATAGTTCAAAATTATATATTTTAAAAAAATATTTTTCAACTACTCAACAATAAATGGAAAGAAAAAATAAAATTTTTAATTATTTTATTTTCCTTACCAAGCATATACCAATGAAACAAAAGTTTAAATTTTCATCTTCTTGTTTTTGTATCTCTAATTTTCAATTTTTTTATTTTTTGATTTTATCAAGTAAAATCTTAATATTTACATATTAATTATATAAATAATTATATTTATTTTATATAAAAAATATTTTATTTATTCCTGAAAATGTATATAATTAAAATAAATTAATTTTTGGGTACATTTATCATCAAAATTATATATAGGGTAAACTGCAAGTTTAGTATCTAAACTATTACTTTTGTTCCGTTTGGGTACTCAAACTTGATTTTTTTAAAAATCACATTTAATGTTTAGTTTAGGTTTAATTTTGGTATCCTGCCATTAAAAATTTAACGATATTGACGTGTCATCATAAGGTAATGTCAAATTGAAACCTAATCTAGACGTTATGTATGATTTTGAAAAATAAAATAAAATTTGGATATCAAAATGGAATAATAATAATAACAATAGTTTAGGTACTAAACATATAATTTACCCTTATATAAATTAATAATCATTCCATTCAATTAATCTAACTTGAAATATTTGAAACCTCCGGATGCAAGCTGTTGATAAACGAAAAGGTTCACTTTGGTTGCTCAAATTTTAAATTTTAATTTTTTTTAATATATAAAGTTATTGCTTTAAAATTCAAAGTCGATTTATATTTAAAATGTTATATTTTAAATTCGATCGGAATCTATTGGACGAAGAAAAAAGTGGTTTGAAATTATTTCCACGCAATAGAAAGCTTAGAGCGATGATTCTTGTATTTAAATTAATTGATTTTTTTAAATATTAATAATATGTTCCTTAAAATATAGGAAAAGAGAGAATCTAGGTGCCTTTGCTTAATGCTATTGCTACCTCAACCCCTCCAGATAAAAAGCGTCCTCTAAATTACTTATTCATTATACACTTGCTTCTCTCTTTACGCTTTTGATTACTCTGTCTTTTGTTATCGTCCTTTTGCTTCCCTGTCTCGCCATTTTTGTTTTTCCTTTCTAGGTTTTACTTGTTTGTTTGAACTATGGCTTCAATGCTGTTACTGGCTCTGGTTTTTGTGATTGATCTGGTTGCTTTCGCACTCGCTGTTGCTGCTGAGCAAAGGAGAAGCACTGTCAGTTCTTCTTACTCTTCCCTTTATATTTACTGAATTGCCTTTTGTAGTAACTCATTGCTGTTTCAGTTTGTTTTCCTTCTCCTAGGATATTCCTGTTTTAAACCGGCTAATTTCCAGAAATTTGGCTAGTTTATTTTGTTTAAGATTTGCGAATTCGGGATTCTGATTTCATATAAAAAAGAAAGGTTAGGCCTTTTTTTTCTTATTGTATGCAAAAAGTTCCATCTCTTTGGTTCCTTGAATTTTAAAAGACGCATAATTGTAATAATTATGCCTTAGATCTAGAATGAAACTGCTTAAACCTGTTTTTCAGATAGGCAAGAGTCATGGTTTTGTATTGAAGTTCCATTTCTCATCAAGTGCGCATTAAAAGAAACATGAAACCTAGAAATAGTTTTGGCTGCAAAGTGGAATCGATTTTATTAAAACAATGGGCTAACAGATTCAAATGCAAGTTTAAGGAGGCCTATAGCTAAAGTACTAAAGAGGGAACTTTGTTTTGCTGCAGTTGTTATATGAACAGGCTTGTTGGATTAGTGGTAAAGGAATCTCCTATAAATACCAAGGAAAAGACTAGAGGAAACAATGTTGAGAATTTATTCAGTCTTTAATAATAATATCACTTTAGATTTTTAGATGCTACGTTACTGCTGCAATGGATTAATTACAAGTTCAATCTAATGACAGCAAGGACTCGTGTCCATGCTGAATCCAAATTTAGTACTTGAGTATGCTTGCGCTCTGTTATTGTAATGGAAATTGATGATTGCATCGACGAATTGTCATCGATGCTTATCTTTATGGATGAGTTTGAGGCAGGGTAGTGGTTGGTTTTATGATCATAGCCTATATGCTTCTTTCAAGAGTAACTTAGAAAAATATTATTGTGTACATATTGTATTATTGTTTTTATCTGGATAAGGTAGTGCCTCTTTTATTGGGTGATCTTTGACGGTTAAATTTGCACACACTGATTCACTATGTTGGTTTCATAGTGTTAAGCGAAATATGAGTTTGTACAGGTAGAAGGTATTAATCTTACAAAGTTTTTGGTTTCAAGGAATAGATTCTGGAAGCCGTTTGACATTTTTATCTCCATGAATTTCCCAATATCGGATGACAAACTAGTTTATAATACTGGGCATTCCACCATTTTCTTTTTGCAGGCCACTGTTGATAATGATGCAAAAGAAAGTTATTGTGTTTATGATGAGGACATTGCAACTGGTTTGGGTGTGGGTTCATTCCTATTCCTTCTTCTTAGTCAGCTACTAATAATGGTGGCTAGCCGATGCTTATGCTGTGGGAAGGCCATGAGACCAAGTGGATCTAGGGCATGGGCAGTTGTCCTATTTATCACTTGTTGGTATGTTTTTAGCTTAAACAATCTTGTCCTCGTGGTCAAGAAGTCTTTGAGCAACATTGTCAATGGCTGCATTTCAATGCTTTCTGCCAGTTTCCTATCGTCTAAATGACCTTTTGCATCGGTATTTCAGGGTGTTCTTTTTCATTGCGGAGGCATGCTTGCTGGCAGGGTCAGTGCGGAATGCACATCACACCAAGTACAAGAACTTCTTAAATCATCCCCCATCATGCGCTACATTGAGAAAGGGTGTGTTTGGCGCTGGGGCTGCATTTGTTTTCTTAACAGCCATAGTCTCTGAACTTTACTATGTGAGTTATTCGAAGGCTGATGAGGCAACAGTTAACTATGGCAAAGACACCGGAGTGAGGATGGGAAACCTATAAATGGATATGCACGGAGAATGTCACAAGAATTCTAAATTTTTTATTCATTTTCGGTTGACCTTAATGTTTTTGTTGTAGACAACATGTTTGATTATCTATATGTATCATAACCATTGACATGGACTTGTGTTTTTCCCACTTTACATTACAGGTTTCTTTTTCAGCATTTTGCTGGTTTGTTTAGGCTTTCGTGGTTCTTTTTCTTTTCTCATAACATGTTATCATTAGAATGACATTTGACGGTGTATTTTTAAGTAATATACAGTACTCTCGATGGAAACTATAGAAAAAGAAAGAGAAGAGAGCCAGTGGAAACTATACAAAAATGACTTATTTTCAGAATTTAAATGCATGACGCCAAGACTTGCTTAAATGACCAACCATGAAATTGACATGAAACCAACGCTATGGAATTTTCAAGGTTAATAATCTAGTAAATGATTGTTATCTCATAGGTAAAATTTTCTTGCTTTCGTCATTCCTTTTCATATCCAAATTATAGAATGTTACATTACAAGGATTGAAAAATAGACGGGCAGCTGCGGATATCCTTTCTCCGTCTCCTTTCCCATCTAATATTTTCATATCTACCATCTACCTACTACCCATGTCAGATAAAACTTTTAAATTCATACCCTCTCACGCGAATACATTCTTCAATCCACCCTACACCCAATACTCAACTAGATACCCACCATTCATCTCTGCCTGGCAACGACCTGACAAATTACATAAGTTGAGTAATTAATGGGTAGGCAGATACGGAACGGATAAGATTTTAAACCCATCACTTACTCACTACTCACGACAAATATGACTTTTTACATCCATGTTCGTCTATTACCCACTAAACTTATACATATCTCCACACTAATTTAAAGTGAATGTATAAGTGCTAAATCGGCAGCTGCTTTTATATGTCGCCACAATCAATGAGACATCCGTATAAGAGGTAGAAGAGGACCATTATTTTTCCCGCGCGTTTTTAGGAGCAAGAGGTGTTTTGAGTTTCCTAGCGATGTTTTAAGTTGGATAATCATCCTCGTTTGGGTTTCATCTCATTTTTAAGCATTAAACTTTTATAAGTTATATTTCAATCACTTCAACTATTAATTTATTATAATTTTTCAATGAATCTTAGTTCACGTTATGTTGATGACATGACATATTAACAAAGAAATTAATTTTTAATTTGACGTATTAATTTTAAATAAATATTATTATTCTAGTATTTTTTACTATACAATTTAAATATAATTTAATTCTTTCTATTTCTAACAAGCCTTCTCTGTCCCGCGGTTCCTTCTCTGTCGCCAACTACAATAGAGGACGGAGGGTAGGATTCCGTTAGCGAACAAAAAAAAATAACTACAATTAAAATTTCATATAAATTCTAATTTAATATTTTATTTATATTTATTGATTAAATTAAAAATTAAAATTTTATTAACGTGTTATTTCATCAATATAACAAGATTTAACAATTCAATAATCAAATTATAATAAATTCATAATATATATGATCATAAAAAGTAGATGATCAAAATAAATAAAAAGAAATTAATCAAAGGTGTCCACCTTGTAGGTTACCAAGTTTTAGAGGGAAAATCAGTCTATTCTGTTGGGTAACATCATCAGTCACTTCTAGTGGTGTAAATGAGACGAGACAGATCGCGAGTTATTCGAGATCGATTCGATCAAAGCTCGATAAATACTCGGATCGAATGGACTCGACTCGAGTTCTTAATAAGCTTAAACAAGCTACTCGATATTCGACTCGAAAAACTCGTGAGCAGCTCGAAAATATAATATATTAAGATTTTATTTAAAAAATAAATTAATAATAATATTAATATTTATGTTTATGTTTGATTTTTTTTTTAAATACAATAAAATTTCATATATTTAAGATTCATGTTCGAGTTTGAGTTTGAGGCTTCAATCGAGTTAAGTTTAAGAATTTTTTTTTCATTTCGAGCCTTTTCGAGCTGCTCACGAGCTTCAGTTCAGGATTTCGAGTTTGAGTCGAGCTTGAAAATTTTAAGCTCGCGAGTTTTCGAGTTGAGTCGAACTCCATTTCAGAGTTTTCGAGTCGAGTCGAGCTTAACAATACTCGAACTCGACTCGGCTCGTTTACACCCCTAGTCACTTCATTTTGAGCACTTCAATGAAGGTTTCATATTATAATCAAACATCCGTATGATTAGTTATTTGATGCAATTTTCTGCTCTATGAAGTTATACAGTACGGTATTTTAATATAAGGTTAAAATAAGATGTTACTAGTTTTATTGGTTTAAATAATAAAATTGGTAAAACATTACCGGTAATATTATTATTTTTACCTAAATATCATTTTTTGAATATTTTCGGTTATTTTTTAGCACCTAATAATATTTTCGGTCATTTTTTAGCGCCTAATAATGTTTCCAGTCATTTTTTTTTTAAAAAAATCCAGTTAAAACACCCAATAATAACAAAATCGGTCATTTTTTAGCGCCTAATAATATTTTCGATCATTTTTTACCGATTTTATTATTTAAACAATAACAAAATTAATAACAATTTTTTTAACAATATATTAAAACTGTCGCACGTTAACATTTCCCTCCGAAAATAGCCTGGCAATTGTTCAAGCATTCTCATCATGAATATCTGTGCCCAAATAACCCAAATCTCTATATCCATAGTCACTAAACCTTTACGATACTCTCATTTTAACCAATAAAGTTTTAAAACTTACATTACAATTACTTGCATTACAATTACTAAACTTTTAATTTGTTTTTATTAGTATCACTTTGTTAGCTTTCGTTAGAAAGTAATGATGTGGAATCTTCTTCTAAAAATCTTGATTTTTTAAATTAACAATCACGATATAATTTGAGTTTCTTATTAACAAAAGGATTATCGGACAATCCAACAGTGTGAAAGCTTCATTTAACCAAAATATTAACATAATTTAATTTTAAGCTAATTTGATGGTTAACAATGACAGATCAATTTTCAAAGATCTGCTACACTACACATTACCTATTGGAGCTTCATCGGATTTAGTCAAGGGAGTTTCTACATAGGAGATTAAAGCAGCAATTTTTAATCAGGGTAGTGATAAGGCTCCTGGACCAGATGGTTACACCCCTTACTTTTTCAAAAAATGCTGGAATGTGGTTGGAGACGATGTAGTGAATGCGATTCGTTACTTCTTTCAAGAAACTTTGTTGATGCCAGCATTCAATGCTACTACAATTGCATTGGTACCCAAAGTACCAAATCCAAGTAAGATCCAAGACTTCCGACCAATTTCATGCTGCTCTGTTGTCTACAAGACAATTACCAAGATTTTAGTCAACATGTTGACCAATCTGCTCCCAGAAATGATAACTTTGAATCAGTCTGCTTTCGTAAAAGGTCGAAGCATTGTTGACAACACTCTCCTTGCTCAAGAAATAGTTAAAGGCTACGGAAGGAAATCTATCTCCCCAAGATGTTGTATGAAGATTGATCTACGAAAGGCTTTCGACTCTCTCCATTGGGGCCTCATCTCTGCAATCCTAAAGGCTCTGGAACTTCCAAGGACTTTCATCTCTTGGATTGAGGCTTGTTACACGCAAGCAAGATACTCCATTTCTTTCAATGGCAGTCTGATCGGCTACTTCAAGGGCGCTAGGGGTATAAGGCAGGGTGACCCCCTTTCTCCATTCTTATTTACCCTCTCAATGAATGTACTCTCCAGAATTCTTAATTTAGCTGCGGCACGAGGTATGTTTGGCTACCATCCTAAATGCAAAACTGCTGGTCTCACTCACTTAATGTTTGCGGATGATCTCCTTATCTTTTGTAAAGGAAATGTGGAATCTGTTATAGGAGTCATCAGTGTCCTCGATAAATTCTATGAAATGTCTGGACTACAGCTCAATGCGGCTAAATGTGAATTTTATGCTGCTGGTATCCTTATCAATAACATAGAGACCATACACAGAATCATGGGCTTCACACATGGATGCTTGCCTGTAAGATACTTAGGGGTCCCTCTAGTTACGAGAAAACTCTCTGAAAAAGACTGTGTAGTTCTCATTGAAAAAATCAAATCCAAGCTCTATCACTGGACTGGAAGACACTTGTCTTATGCAGGTAGACTTGAACTTATCAGAGCTGTCATATTTAGTGTTGCTAACTACTGGTGCAGGCAGTTACTTTTACCACAGTCTATTATAAACAGAATTCAGCAACTTTGCTCTCGCTTTCTCTGGAAAGGTTCTGACACGGCTGCTACTGGAGCTAGAGTAAGCTGGAAATTGATATGCCATCCGAAATCTGAATGAGGACTTGGCTTAAAGGACCTAAAAGCATGGAACAAAGCATGCATGATCCAGCTAATCAGAAACATCCTAGCAGGAGAGGGATCACTGTGGGTAGCTTGGGTGAAATCCTATGTGTTAAAAAATAAAGACTTCTGGCATTCAGAAGGTGGTACTAATGCTAGTTGGAGCTTCAGAAAACTTCTAAACCTTAAAAGAGAAGCACAAACTGTTTTTTCTACAAGAGCTACGACGACTCGTGCCATCTGGGACGAGATTAGAGTTAAAGGAGACAAAGTCAACTGGCATAACATAATCTGGTTTCCTCTACACATTCCAAAACACAACATGATTGCTTGGATGGCTATCTTGGACAGACTTCCCACTCGGAATAGGCTTCAACAAATGGGCATTATAACCGATGGCTTATGTGTTCTGTGTAATGAAGATCGGGAGACAAGAGACCACCTGTTCCTTCAATGTTCAATGGCGAACTCCCTCTGGAAGGCCATTCTGCACCTCTCCGGATTAAGGTCAACAACACTGTCCTGGAACAACTTTTTAGCATCGGCTTCCCTTACTTGGAAAGGTAAATCCCTTCTTATCACTATATTGAAACTTGCATGGTGTGCATTCCTCTATTCTCTATGGGAGGAACGAAACAGAAGATTATTCAAAGGAAACTCTAGAACTGTAGTTGAAATTCTTAAAGCTATCAAGGAGATGGTCGGCATTCAACTAAGAGGTCGGAACATTAATAGACTAGATAGTATTAATATCACTCTTTGTAAGAATTGGAGTCTTGAATAACCTATAATTTGTTTTGTAATAGGTTATTCATGATTTTGTTGACTTTCCTTTGATGATTGTTTTGTAGCATAATTCTGCTCATTTGGGTAATAAAAATTTTAATTATCCAAAAAAAAATGACAGATCAAAAAGTTTTATCTTTTAATCTCTATTAGGCTCCCTTCTCCTTTCGTCATGGTTTATGTAACCATTTAGTGATTTCTTCCACAAAACTACTCATCTTTTTTTTTTCTTTTGATTCAAACTCGTCAAAAAATCATTAAATCTCCTCAAATCCCAGGTAAATCCTAATTGAAACTAAAAGTTTAAACTTTTTTATATTTCCATATCAATTGTGAGATTAACTTGAAATCAAACTATATTAATCTTCTATTCAAACGAATCCTTCTCAACGTTGAGATTGATCAACAACCGCTCTATTTATATAAAAATAATTAACCTTGATTACGGCTGTAAATTTGGAACCTTAATTTTTTTGTGGGAAAAAGACTTTAACACGCCACATCAATATTTCCTAATAATAATGACTATATTGAAAGTGAATTAACAATTTAGTGATTGTAATATATATTTTAAAAATTCGATAATCGAAAGCTCCTTAAAAATTTAGTGACCACCTACGTAGTTTACCCTAAAAAATATGACTAAACTGTTTACTTTTTACTAAGACCGTGGATTGAATACAATAAAAGCAGATTAGGAAGAAAAATAATAATAATTTTAGGATTCTATTCAAATAACTCACAACTTTATTTACTCGAGTTAAAAACAGTGTGAATATTTACATTTCAGGATCGACTCCAACAGACAACGGACCATGTTGCCTCTCTAAGACCGTAACACTGTGGATCTAAGTGGATGAGGAAGCCAGATCATAATGGAACAAAGATTTTGGTGTCTAATAAAATATTAATAAACATCAATAAAATCTATAAGCACATGGTTTATAATACATGAAACAACTTTACAACCAGAATGGTGTCAGGACAAAGAAAAAAGAATGATTCAGAACAAGTGTTCATAAATTATGAAGAAATGAATCCATGTAAATATTAGTTGTATTCAGATATCCAGAAATATGCATATCCAACAGAATCTTCAATCACATCCAGTTTGCCAACCATAGCTGGAAGAGACCCCATCACAGCTTCCTCTTATTCCAATCATAACATAATCAATAACCCCAAATACACATTCATAGATATATATTCTCGCATTATATTATAAGAGGTAGAGTACAAAATGTACACCATCACCCAGAAGCTGAATTTGAGGAAAAAAATGGCAGCTTCGTCATTTTTATCAGTTACAAGTTGAAAGGGGAGATTATACATGGTAATGATCAATTTACGAAAGGGAAAATAAACACCCAAAGAAAAAAAAAAGAACGCCCTTCATCAAATTAGAAAACCCAAATCAAGAAAAAAATACTATAAGAGAATGGATATATGGTTAAAACATCTTCATGGTTTGATCTCGGAATCATCCCATGGTATGTTGAGATCAGTAGAGACAAGTGCATCAATATCGTCCCAATTCCAATAATTTGCTATGTCCATGTCACTGCTCGTGATAGGTACTTGCCATGTGTGTGAAATAGTGGCACTTGGGGTTGGCATGATGATGCTGGTGATGGTTGGATCATCCATTGTTTCACCAGTGTAGTTATAGATACATGAAGATTGAAATGTTGTTGACATCGTTTCAAAAGAAGTTGAGTTTGAACTTGAAAATGGGAATTGTAAGGCTTGAGTTTGAGGCAACGACGGGGCTGTTGAAGTCGAACCCAGAATCACACCATTGCTTGTACTGAAACTTTTGCTGTCCAAGTTGCTGCAATTGAGAGGATTCTGCAGAAACGATGAAGATGATGGAACTGGACGACCCATCACCGGAAATTGCATACTCGATATGTTCTTTTGGTCAGCAAGTGGAAGCTGAAGATCCCGCCTTTGTTTCTGTGACGGATGAATTGCCATGAAGTTATTGTTAACAGCAGAAGCAGTTGAGGTTTTGAAGGCAATACTTGTTTTGGTAGTTGTGGCAGCGGAAGCTGTGTTGGTATTGGACGTGGTCTTAAAGCGCTTGTTTTTGCGGCCACCACCAAGAGGAACATTGCGGAGAGTGCCACCTTTAGTCCAGTGTCTTTTACAAGACTTGCAGAAATGCCTAGGCTGAGACTTGTTATAGTTGTTGTAATAACAGAACTTGGTGTTGCTAGAATCACATCTGGGACACTTGAGCTGCTCAGATTGCTGCTGCCTCTTCATTGCTTTGGGCAACTCCAGAGTTTGAGCCTGCAACAAGGATTGGCTCCACCTACTGGAAACCTCTTTGGAACTCAGCCCCATATTGATCTGCAATCGGAGGTGAAAAGGCAATGAAATCCTAGCCTTTGGATCGAAGAGGGGTGAGGATGATGAAATTGTTCCTTGTAAGCCAAACAGGGTGATGTTGTGAAGATTTTGGATATGGAAGGGTGTTATTTTGAAGCTCAAGGAAGTTCCCCGGAAGGTGATGAGAAGTGAGCATGCTTTGAGCCTCTCTCTTTAATCTAACCTACCTCTTCAATATATGCCACCCTCCACTATCTAATCTAAACCCCAAATAATTATTAAATATTAGAATAAGATCCAAAACCTAAATTTTAGTTGGGAATTTTGGTTTGGTTGATGAAATATGGGGGCGGGGTGGGGTTTCTTCTAATTCATAAATGTAGAACCGTTCATCCTTCTTGGCCTCTCCAAATAATTTTTATACTGCAAAATGAGAATTCCTTAGTCCTGAAGGTGAAGGTGGGTTGATGACACGTGGGATTGTCTGGACCATTGATAGTGAAGTCATTGTATCTATGGGCTGTACAGAGAAGATAGATAGAATAGAGCCTCATGCTTGTACGTATAAAGAAACAGTGAACTATATAAGCTATGAAAAAGAAAGGTTGCATGCACCATATGAATTTAAAAGAATATAATTAATGAGTATTTGATGCATAATACTATGTAATTGTATATATCATGCGAATCACATGATAGGATTGAATTTTTAAATTTTAAAAAATACAAAAATTAAAATTAATCAAATTAAACTATATAGATTAAATTCATAATTCATCTATAGAACAAATACTAATTAAAAAATTTAATCTTTATTTAACGATTATATAAAAAAAGGAAAAGACAAAATAACCATTATAGTAATATCTCTATTAATATTTTCATTATCATTTTTCAATTTTTATAATTAAATTTGTACTCAATTAACTGATAACATCAATTAAATTGATCTCCTAAATAGTAATATAAATAAAATAAAATTTCATGCTATAACATAATACACTCAAGTCATGTTCGATATTTATATACGTGAAATGTTAAAATATTAAAATATTGATGGTAAAAATATGAAAATTTATTTTAATTCTACATTAATATAAATAATTTTCTTTCCAATATAAATATATAAACATTCAATCCAGAATATACGTAATTAATAATAATAGAGCGGTCATGCTGCAATAGCATGTTCTTCAAAGAATATATAAATATTACAATAGGTCATGCTTCACATCCTATGTAAATTCAATTATCTTCTTTATCGATGACATAAAATCCTTCAATGATAATTATTAAATTAAGGTTTTATAAAATAATTTTTTTCTGATATTTTAATTTTATCTATGTTTTGAAGATTGGCGACATGATTTAAACTCAAATATTAATATATAAAAATTCAATCAAGCATTTAATTGTATATATTTGTAAGAAAAAAATTGAAGAGAGGTCAATGGACCTATAAGTTTGAAGTTAAAAGGACTTGGCAGCACGTGATGCGGGGTAGGTGATGATGATCCCTTCCATGTGATTTTGCACTTGTGGGATCAACCCCCCATATGTGTGAATCATCAGCTCCAAGTTGTGTCTACAAATTCCCTAAATTAGGGCTATCTACACTCAACTATCAAGTATGATTAAATTTTAAAACTACAATTGATTTAATATGATAAAATATTAAATATTTTCAATAATATTATAATTTGAATTATAGTGTTATAAATAAAATTAAAAAACTTGTCATATAATGAATTCTACATATATAAAATTATATTAATTAAATAAGAAATCATATATCAATAATTATAAAAAATATCATTTATGATTATAATTTAATAAACACTTTATAAAACACTAAATAATAAACAAATATTCCAATTATTAATATATTTTTAAAATTATAATTATAATTAAATATAATTGATTGAATAATAGTTTGATTTGTATTATCGTTGTTGTAACCTACAATAATATTGTGTTTAAGTACATTTAATCTTAATAGTCTTTAATTTAAGAAATAAAAATTTTGAATAATCTAAATATTATAATTTATATGATAAAAATAATATTAATACATAAATTATAAAATCTGCACATTATTAATCACATATGAATCCTTCTTGGCATCTTGCTCCTATAACCTCCTTGATTCATATGCATTTTCTAATTATAAAACAAGATGATGATGATGAAAAACTTTATTTTTTATATTATTTTTAAGATAAATATATGATTTAGTACTTGAATTCAATTTATAAAGAAATTATATATTTCATACAAATTTTATTTAAAAATTAATCATTATGTAACATCCTAAATACCGGGTTAGTGACCAAATTGTAAACTTTTAGAATTTAGTGACTAAATTAGATAAATTGAAAAGTTTAAGGACTTAAATGATATTTTATATAAGACTGTATAGCAAAGAAGGATGAATGAAAGGGAAAAATAGTCACTTGACAAGGAAAATAATTAAAAATTTGGTTATGATTATTTTATAATTACGTGGAGTTTGAGGAGGAAAAATCAAGATTTCCATAGCTTTCTTCCTCCTTCAGCCGTGAACCCCAAATTATCAAGGTGAGCTTCTTGTTAGCTTATTATTTATTGAACTTAAGCTTGGTTTATGTTCTTTAGATGATACTTAAGCTTAAGAAAAACTTAAGTTGTCTTAAAACCAAAAGATGAAGGAGTTAGGAAGGATTAAAGATAAGAGGTTTCCAAGTGAAATCTTGGAAAATAGCTAGTAAGTAAAGTTTAAGATTAAATTTGATTTGTCATTAGTTAAATTAAGAAGTATGAAGTGTTAGAAATGAAATTAGAACATGTTGGTAATTTAGTAAGATTCTTGGTTTCAAGAATTTGGATGAGATATTGAATATAATGATGTTTTATATGGTTATAAAATGATTTGAGTAAGTGTAGATAAGTGTAGTAGTAAGAAAGGAGTTATAAATAGAAGGTTTAAGTAGAGGTGGGTATATGGGCTAAGGCCAGCGGGCTACCCGCATAACCCGCGGCCCGTGCGGGCTTCGGGCCTAAAAAAATAAATCTCGTTTAAATTGTGGGCTTATTAGCCCAATTTATTTATTTTCAATTTATTTTATGTTTTATGGAAGACAATTCACGTTTAGCCCAATTCACGTTTTATGTGCATTTTATGTCCATTAGATCAATGTTGCTCATGTCACCAGCAATGCTTTGTCTTTGGTTAACCAGTTTGCATACAAGCAGTAAAGTTGGAAAATAGAAAAATTTGGTTAACTACACAATATTTACACAACAAAAAAATATATCACTATCTAGGAGTTTAGACAAAATAACATTTACATCGAATACTCCAAAAGTGACTTGCAATACCTTAAATACAATTTCGACTAATCTACGAGTATTAAAAACTTGTAAATACGTTAAACTAGAAAAGTAAACTTATATAGCTTAATGAGAGATTTATAAAAAATATATATAATATTAACACATGTCATGCATAAACTTGATATTTTCAGTGACAAATACTTATCAACATTTATAGCTTAATTGAAGGTAAATATTACAATTCTTAATGTTTAGTAAAATTATTTCTTTATAAATTTACTTTTGATTTCAAAATTTAAACTATCTAATATATTATGATTTTTTTTATATTGTAGATGAAGTGGACAAGTCTCCGGTGATAATATATTAGGATTAAAAAACATTGAATATTATTGATGTTGATTTTATTTAGACTTATTGAGACTTATTAGTGTTATGGTGTTATTTATTTTAGACTTATTGAGACTTAATGGTGTTATGGTGTTATTTATTTTAGACTTATTGAGACTTAATGATGTTATGGTGTTATTTATTTTAGACTTATTTAGACTTAATGGTGTTATGGTGTTATTTATTTACTTGTTTATCTTGAGACTTATTGAAACTTTTGCTGATATCTTCCTTTTCAAGTTGTTGGATCATTTTTAAAGGTGTAGCAAGTTAGAACATTATTTTTTATTGCATTTAAAGCATTTAAAATTGTTGTTATTTAATGGGTTGCGGGTAATGTAACATCCTCAATATCGGGTTAGTGATTTAAGTGTAAGATTTTTAAATTCAATGACCAAATTAAATAAATTGAAAAGTGAATGAATTAATTGAAAGATGTTGGTGTAGGATTAATTAACAAATGAAGGAAGAGTAAAAGGGTAAAAAGGACATTGAACAAGGGGATGAATAAAATATTAAATGGGGTTATATTATAAACCTACGTGTGGCTTATGTAGGAAACAAATATTTCCAGATTTCTCTCATTTGTTCTTCCTTCTTTCTTCATCTTCTTCTCTCAAACGTGAAGCACCCAAGCTCAAGGTAAGAATTTGAATCTTGGTTGTTTCTTTGATTTTTGGTTTGGTAATGGAAGTTTGGATGTTATATAAGCTAAAGGAAAGCTTATATGGCATTAAAACAACAAGATAAGTGTTTTAGAGATGAATTTGAAAAATGAGTTTTTAGATGAAATTTTAATATAGATGAGTTTTTGAAGTTTGAATAAGATTTTTGACTTGTCAAGAGGTTAATTAAGGAATATGAAGTGTTAGAATTGGATTTAAAACATGTTGAAAAATTTGGGATGATTCTTAGCTTTAAGAATTGGAATGAAGTATTAGAGATAATAAGGTGTGTGAATGATAGAAGTTAGTTAAAATGGTTGTAGTTGAATTTAGTGATATGAAAGGAGTTTTGTATGAAGAAATTCAGTGATGAGTTGATGAATTTTGGGTGAAAATTTACAGAACGTAATAGGGGAACCGATACCCTCACAGTAGGGAACCGATTCCCCCTAAAGAAAAAATGAAATATTAATTCCTTAAATTTGTTTAAGCTATTAGAGGTTAATTGCAAGGTTTAGGTTTTTGATAATAGTTTCGAAAATTATGTTTATGTAGATATCGAGCCTAAACGAGTTCCGGAACAATCGAAGGATTAGAATCGAGGCAAAGTAAGCAAGGCTAAGGTGAGTGCATATACTAGATAGAATTGTATGGAGGTAAGACTTGCGATAAGTCTATCTCTGGTAGTTGAATTCATGATTTCATATTCATGTACATGCATCCATATATATATATATGATACAATGATTTCATGCATAATTCATTTATGCTTAAATATTATATTATATGAAATAATACAATTGTTAGAGAATCAATCCAGGTATGTAAAATAATGAAATTGATTATAAATGTGCATGTGAAGTGAATTATGTGTTTATATGAAAAGTGATGAAAGATATATGAAAATGAGAAATGTATTCATATTTAAGCCCATGTTATTGAATATGAGAGTTGTAGGTATAATTGGCATGCCAAGAGTAGAGGGATATACAGTAGTCCTTCGGG